AAACAGAAAAGAGTGGGTCAGTCCCTAACCAAATTCATGCCACTGTTCAAACTTATTTCAGAATGGCTAACATTAAGAACTATTCTTAATTTTTTCCATGTATTGTTGTTGCTGGAAGGGGATTATTGTTTTTTATTTTCTATATTGTGATTTCACTTCTTGTGAACCACCTAAAGTCACTGTGAGTGAGTAGGTGGCCATAAAATTTTCCCAAATAAATAAATAAATAGGTTTGTATACCACCTTTATTATTTTTATAAACAACTCAAGGCAGTGAACATATCTAACATATCTTCCTTCTCCTATTTTCTTCACAACTAAAATCCTGTGAGATGGATTGGGCTGAGAGTGAATGACTTGCCCAAAGTCACCCAGCTAGTATTTCATGCCTAAGGGCAGGGCTATAACTCACAACAGCATGATTTCTAGTTTAATCCTTAACCACTAGACAATATTAAGGGAAATGCCAAATATTTCTAGAATTATCTGTAAAAGCAATTTATAACTCTGTAATACTATGATCTATGGTGTAGTGTGTATAAGTTCTTATAAGTAGATAAAGAGATTCAAAAAAATGTAGTGAGTTTTATTGAACCTATTGAGCCAATACTCACTGTCCTTGTTGGAAAAAGATATGAAGATTTATATTTAGTAAGGGGGCACCTGCATTAGCAGCAACTTAAATCAAACATTTATTTTATGGGTTAATTAATTCTGAATATTGAGCTTAAAAGAGTTCTGCTCCATTCCTTTTTATAGAACTATTTCAGCTCATTAATACTCCGTCATTGACTGTAGGATATCCAGATCTCAAAGTTGCAAAATATCCATACCAAAATATTGCCATTGCCATATTTCACAGTTGCCATACTCCAACAGACTTGATACAGTTGGTTATAATTAGGCAAATGCAGAGAATGGAAGACAAATCTTCTTTTGAATTGGAATCAAGTAGTTCACTTGGATAGCCAGAACATTTTAAATTTTATTCATTTTGATAGACAAAATTGAGAATGTCTCAAGTGTTACAATGGGAACAAGCACTCAAGCCATTTTAAAGACTCTATTATAACAAATATTGGCAAACTCAAAATAAATCCTGTGTCTTTTTTACCAAACTGCAGCATAATTGCCTGATGACTTTTTTTAAAAAAGGAAAACATAAATTTCCACTTGAAACATTAAGACATGATATTTGCAACACATTATTATGCTAAGCAAAGCAATTGCTGCTGGATTGATACCAATAAAGCCCAGAAGATAACAACAGTAGTATCAGCCATAGGCTCCTGCAAGACTTGTTCCTTATTAAAATGTACATATATATATATTTTAGATTATAAACCTGGTCTGCTGGCATCAGCCGAAAACAACTTATGTACCATTGGAGGTTAACTCTCTCTAAAGCAAACACCAAGCAGCAGCAGCACGTATCAAAACATCAACTCTGCACATCTGAACATGCCAAAACTAGTATAGTTTGTGCTTTGTATTTAGCAAAAGCAGCCTGAAACTTCAGTCAACAAAACTGATTTTTCCATTTGTCTATAGTGCCTGCACAGGAAAAAAATATAGCACGACACAAGTGGCAAACAAAAAATTACAATATAACAGTGAACAGAATTATTTTATTAATTTTCCTAAAATAAAGAATTTAAAGTACCATGTACTTATATTATAAAACAATTTACTAGTTATATAACATTTCTTTTTGTTTTTGTTAAATTTGCAGTTAGAATTTTAGCCTAGTTGCTAAATCTCCTTTGGACTATGTCATTCTTGGATGATTTGGCAGCTTCTAGAAGATTCTGGTTCACAGGATTCTGTGAGCCAGAAATGAATGGAGATGTCCCAAGAGTGACTGAGCCATTAAACAAGTCTGTTCTGTCTGGAAAGTCATGTCTGAAGTGCTTCAAACTGCATCAGCTCTGGACAATAAATCAGGCATGATATTCCCCTCTGGAAAAAAAATCTGAAAAGTAGCCAGGGGTGCCTTTTCCTTCCGACCTCGCCCTCCTCCCCAAATCTAATCATCTCCCCCCACACCACCGACAGGACCCTGGAGGCACCGGATCCATCAACGGCGGGAAGGGAGTAAAAAAAGAAAGGGAAAAAAATTCAGAATTGTTAATCAAGGGAGCTCCGGTTCCAGTCGCCGCTCCAAGCTCTCTCTTTTTTCCCCCCCCTCTGCGCGACTTCCCGCAGGGGAATTTTCTGGTAAATGAACATTGCTTTCGCTCTCCAGAGGGAGCTGCAGCCGTCTGGCTCTTTCCACACCTCTGCATCCCCGGGAAACCTCTCCCCCCCACCCCATGCCACCCCCGTCTTCTTCCCTTCTCCTGCCTTCCCCTGCCTCACAAGGTAGGTAGCCAAGCCGCTGTTCGGCTCGTCCACTTGCCAAGCCAGCCAGCCAGCCCGCCCGCCCGCCGCAGGGATGGTCCAAACTAACAGTGCTGCTTATTGAGTCGGAGATGGGGGGGAGGTAGGAATTAGGGGGAGAGGGGACGGGGGGGGGGAGGAACAGGAGAGGAGACGCCTTGGAAACCATGCAAGAACTTTTCTGCTTCCGATTACCCCCATGCTTACAAGTTGCAAAGGAAACACGGAACTCAAAACAGCCCAGCTGCGCAGCTCGGCTTGTTTCGGGTCTTCCTCCCCACCACTTAAAAACACGGAGTTCCGGCGCTTCCCACGCTTGCAAGCGGAGAGAACCAGCTGGCTTTTTTCCACCGACCAGTGGCAACTTTGCAAAAAAAGCATAATAATAATAATAATAATGATGATGATGATGATGTTTGGAAAAGAAAAAAATCAGAATTCCGATTTTAGTCGGAAGAATATCATGTATGATAAATTGCTATGCTGACCCAGGAATAGCATGACCTGGAAAAGGGCTGGCATTTTAAATATCTGTAATTGATGGTTTTGGAATCTTTCTGGATATAATATATATAGGCCTTAATCTCAATATATGTCTTTGGGGTTCCTAAATTATGTGGACAATTTTTATGGCCAGTACTCAAAGGTTAAGATGAATTATCATCAGATAAAATAGAAAGTAAAGTTTGATCCTATAAACATGCTAAGTTATTATATGGTAAAATTTGAGAATAGAAGGGGCAGTGTTTTTGTTGGAGAACCTGGGTAGAACGTGGAAAGCATAGTTAACAGGTAATTTATTTTTTATGTATTATTTGAGAAGTTGCAATATTAGTCTTTTGCTGAAACCTAATTAAGTTGGTAGTTCTAAATAGCATAGAATGTGATTGAACATGATAGTTAAAATAATGTATGTTCTTAATGACATGAGATTATAATAGTTATTTATAAAGTGTTAAAATAATTAGATGTTAAAACTAATACTAATGAATAAGGAACTGGAATAATCATGAATTAACACAGATGAAACAGCATTTTGTCATCTATGTGTCTCATTTTTACATATTTAAAATATAATTCAACAAAATATTTCATGCCTATGGGAAACTATGTAAGATGTTAGGCAGCAATTGGTGTCTTTAGCTAATTATTGACAATATGATGCTCAAAGTATGATATTTCATAAAAAGCGCCTGCATGCTATAGCACCTCCTGTTTTGACAAGTTATTTCATATATTAATTTTATTCTATGAGGCTTACTGATTTTTATACATATAATATTCTCTTTTTGTATAAGCATGGTTTAGAAACTGATAAGAGGATTATTGTAATTAATATAACTTTTGTATCATTACAAAGCAACTGATACAGCAAGGCTGAATGAAGGATGAAGGACATTCATTTTCTATCAATTATGTAATATTCTAAAGAACTCATCTTTCTAAATCTGAGCCAGAATTGTTCTGCTATGAATTCCATTTAAATTTTTTATACCTTTTAAAAGTTTATGTCCTTAATATGTTACTATAAGCCAACAGACTTAAAATTTAATTATAAAATATGAAATTTGGAGAAAAATCAGTGTAATTTTTTTCCTGAAAAATCCAGAACATTTTGAATGATTTAATGTTATTCTTCAGGATGCACAAAATGTTGAAGATGTGTTTATCCCTCAATGACTTAATACACATTAAATAAGAATTAAATAGGAATAAGATTGATAGTAGATCATTTGTTTTTGTACACTGAACACAACTTAATGTCAAAGCAAGATGTCCTTGTGATCTAAAAGAGGCACCATTCTCACCAAATGGAAGCCATATCTTTTTTCAACTTTTTTGTTGTTGCAATTTTATTTTATTTTTTCTGTTACATTAGATAGATAGATAGATAGATAGATAGATAGATAGATAGATAGATAGAT